AGACCGGTCTGAGCGCCACGAGTGCCGAGCCAGGCGGGGGGCACCGCGGGAGGCCGGGCCGCGCCCCCTGCGTCCGCCCCTGCAGGTCACGTGGGCCAGAGCCCGGGACTCCCTTTACCTCCCCTCGCGTCCCTCAGCCACCCTGGGGTCCCCGCCGCGCCGGCGCTCCTCTGCGCCTGCGCGCCAGCTCCAGGCGCTCCCATTCAAACCGACAACGCCCCGCGTCTTTCGGACTGGCCAATGGCGACGGCGGGGGCGGGGCGGGGGCGGGGCGCTCGCGCTGGCTCCGCCCCCAGGCGTGGACCTGCGTCCCTGGCTGGAGGGGTTCCTGCGGGGTGGTCGGGTCCCTCTGCCCCTGGACCTGACCTCAACAAATAAACTGAAGTTTCTTGTCCTCTTATTTCTTCCCCAGACACTTAAAGGTGGAGCCATAAATATCGTCCGGAGTTCGGGTGGGGTCGGGCCTCGACCCCTTTGACGATGGGAGCCGCGCTCAGGTGCCGCCTTCCCCTGAAGCTCGGTCCCGCCCCAGAGGAAGCGCGTTCCAAGCGGCAGCTGCAGGGTGCTCCGGAGAAAAGGCCTCTGTGAAAGCAACAGAGGGACCCGTGTGGAAGTCCGAACAAGGCGGCCTCAGTCCTTGGGGTTGTGTCACAGCTTTGGCGGTTCCAGCTGCTGGAAAAGCAAACTTCTTTTGACTGCAGGATTGCTGGTTCCCAGGAAAACTGGGAGGCAGATTTAGCGTCAGCAGCTAATTCCCAGCTACACTGTTTTATTTCTATTCGCTTCCCCATGCCAAGTTTACCAAAGTATAGGTCTCTGTCTGTTTTTAACAAAATGCCAAGACTAGAGCCTCTCAACGAAATTTCCAAGTTTTATATAGAGTTAGGGATTGTGCGTGTGTGTGTGCGTGTGTGCGTGTGTGTGTGTGTGTGTGTGTGTGTGTGTGCTGGGAATCAAACCCAGGGCCTTGTGCATGCAAAACAAACACTCGACCACTAAGCCACATCCCCAGCTCAAGTTAGGGATTTTAAAAAGAAAACCCAGTTTCTGTAACCCTCTGAATTACAGTACTACCCGGTGATCCGGGGAGCATTCCTCACCAGGTGGATGGTAGGGCAAATGGTTTCAAATAACAGCCTTGGTGTCCAAGTAGACCCGGGTTTGAGTTTCAGCTGTGCCACTTACAGGCTGATTGATCTTTAACAAGTTATATGTCCTCTTTAACCTTAGTTGCTTCACCAATAAAACACGGGTAATGAGTGTTCTTCTCTTAGCAGCGGTTATAACGCTTCACCGAGGTAAGGCTTGTTAACACAGGGTCTGACACAGAAACTGGTCAATACACAGTGCCTATCATTATTACCAACAACCACCTTTGATACCAGGTTCTTATACATAACAACTGAATTAGATGGCTGTACTATTTCAGAGGTAGGTATTATAATTTCTTCTCACTCATAAATTCTCTGTGGCTATTGATATGTGAAAGCCACAAAGGAAGTACAGTGTATCGGATTTGGCATGTCCAAAATAAATCATTTCCTTCCTGCCAGTCTTCCGTGGCAGGCTTGACTATTTCTGGTATGGGTTACCTCCATCTTCCTAATCACCCAGGTTGAATTCGCTTTTATTTTTTAATTAATTACCTTTATTGGTACGTTTCAGATATACATAATGAGCACATTCATCGTAGGGAATTTCTACCTGTCCGTGACACAACTTGATTCTTTTTTTCCCCATGACCCTGCCCTCCCTTTAATTCCCTTCCCCTCCTTATTTACAAAAGCGTTGTTTCCATTTTTTCTTTCTTTTTGAATTATCTTCTAAATTAACTTGCAAAGAGCATCAATCAGATTATGTTAGTCTCCTACTTGAAAATCTTTAGTGACTTCCTAATTGATTTAAAATAAAATTCGAACTTCTCACACAGCCCACAAATCCTCAAGCCATCAGGCCCCGCTCGCCTCTCGATTTTCTTTTAAAAATTTTGTTTGGTACAGATTATATTCGTGCAGGGAGTTGGTGCTCACGGACCTTTCAATTTCCTACTTCCCTCTCCTCCAGACTCATTTCCTTGCAGGTGCGTAGAACATCGCTACCGCCCCAGAATCACCCAAACCTCAGTTCTCTCAGGACCTCCTCCCTGGCAGGTCCCTTTGCCTAGTTTTCCCCAAGCTGTTTGATGACTGGCTTCTTTTCACCCCTCGGCTTTCTGCTTATTCATTACAGTATTCAGTAAGTATTTATGGGGTTTCTGCTGTGTGTCAGGAGCTGTCTCGGTACTAGGAATACAGTTGTGAACAAAACAGAACATAAGCCTTGCTGTCATGGAGCTCAGTAAAAACAAATAAGAAAAATACCAGGTTGTGATAGCTGCCAGCAGAGAGTGAACAGAAAGGGGAAGGTACATTCGTGAAAGGCTACTGGAGATTTAGGATCAAGACCTCTCTGAGAAAGTGGTGCTCAGACTGAGATTCGAATTATGGGAATGACCAGGCCTTCAAGAAAAGTTCAGGGAAGAGCGCTTCCAGCAAAGGGAACAGCTAATGCAAACTCCTGTGAGGACAGGCTTCATGGGTTTGAGAAGCCAGAAGTCCACTGGAGCAGAACCGGGGAGCAGAGAACATGCGAAAGGCCATGCCGGTCTTTGTAGGCCTGGGTAGTATGTTTGAACTTCATTTTCTTAACGTTTTTTTTGTTTTTTGGGTTTTTTTTGGTGCTGGGAATCAAGCTCAGGACCTCACGCTTGCCAGGCAAGCACTGTGCCATTGGGCTAAACCCCTAGCCTCATTTTCTAAATGTTAAAGGAAGCCAGTGGAAGATTTCATACATGGGGAAAATTTCATCTGGCTTATATTTTTAAACGGGCACTTTGGAAAAAATCTCAAATTTGAGATAATTTCACAAGACAACTGGCTCCGACTCTTCATAAAAGTTGGTATCATTGGAAATAAAAAACCACCTAAAAAAGGACATAGATCTGGATGGAGTCTTGAGGTAGAGATGGGAGGAGGGAGACAATGAAAGAGAAACAAACTATAAAATAAATGCATTTTAGGGACACTTAGGGAAATTTATAGGCTATATTAGATAGTATAATGGACTTAGAGTACCGTTAGTTGCCTTACATATAACAAAGGATTATAGTTGCAATGGAATTTATTTTTATATGTTTTTTTAAGGAGACACAAGTTAAAATATTTTAGGGGAAAGAATCATGACCTCTGCAACTTATGTTCACAGGATTCAGCAAAGACAGAAAGAAAGAGTGAGAAATGCAAGCCTACTTTTAACAGCTGGGTCTACCTGAAGATATATGAGATTTTTTCATGTAATTTTTGTATTATATATGTATCATTCTTGGACTGGAAATTTTGAATTTTTCAGAATAAAAAATTGACAAGCAAAGTCACTTGTAAATATTTCCATTTCTCATATGAACTATATACCCTGTCCAACTCTCCCCTGAGAATAACTTAAAGTGCTATATAAAAATAAAGATAAAATAAAGACACAAGGAAAAAACTGCAGCCAAGCCTCATCTTGACTAAACTGGGGCTTTCACTGTCAGGGCTTCACGGGGAATGGAAAGACAGGACAAGGTCCAGGTCCTGCCAGGGTGGGAAATCTAATACAACTGCCCACACAGAGCCAGGATCTTCCGAAGGCCCCTCTAGTCTTGTTCCAGAGACTGCGAGAGACTTCCTTAGAATCAGCCTTGCAGTAGGATGGAGGGAGAAATATGTCCTCTGTGAATTGTCTTTTTAAATCAGAAACTATAATCTGCTCTCCATAGGTTGCCTGAGAAACAGAACGGATAATGTAACCCAGTCTTGGGTCAGTGTCCCCAACTAGCAGAGGCAGAGAGAATCACCTTGAGAGAAACCCAACTTGACCAGACAAAAACTTCTAGAGAAAATTTTCTGAGAAATGTGAATTCTTGATTAAATCACAATTCATGCAAAGAAACAAGAAACGTTGCATAAGAATGATCAGGACAAAAATTAACACAGTAGGGGCTGGGGATTTAGCTCAGCGGCAAAGCGCCTGCCTGGCAAGCACAAGGTCGTGAGTTCGGTTCCCGGTACCGGAGAAAAACCAAAA